AACCGACATCTTGGTCAGTCATTTGTTCACTGGCAGATTTGCTAGAAAGAGGTGGGCTCTGGGCTTTTTTGTTTTTTAAAGGAATAGTTAATCTTCAAGGTGAAGAGTAGGTAACTTATTTTCTAGGCAATTCTGGATAGAGAGACTCATAGAATGATAGAATGGTTTGGGTTGGAAGGGACCTTAAAGATCATGTAGTTCCAACCCCATTGCCATGGGCAGGGACACCTTCCACTAGACCAGGTTGCTCAAAGCCCCATCCAGCCTGGCCTTGAACACTGCCAGGGATGGGGCATCCGCAACCTCTCTGGGCAACCTGTTCCAGTGCCTCACCACCCTCACAGGGAAGAACTTGCTTCCTTACATTACCCTGTGTCCTATCGCTACATGCCCCTGTAAAAAGTCCATCTCCAGCTTTCCTGTAGGCCCCCTTTAGGTACTGGAAGGCTGCTGTAAGGTCTCCCCGGAGCTTCTCCAGACTGAGCAACCCCAACTCTCTCAGCCTGTCTTCATAGGAGAGGTGCTCCAGCCCTCTGATTGTCTTTGTGGCCCTCCTCTGGACTTGCTCCAACAGGTCCATGCCCTTAAACAAGAGAGGAGACATTAAATAGTTTTAAAGAGAGCAAGCATTAAATAATTTTAAAATAATGTAACTGTAGTGATTTGAGAGGTGTGTACAACTCCTGTTATGAGCCAGTCTTGCCAATCACACTTTTCAGCCAGGTGTTGGCATAACTGATACCTTGATGGGGGATCTGAGGTATATGAAGATCTCTGCAGAATCAGCGCTCAAACTAGGTTTTAAATCGCATAAAAGGTGATGTCCAAATGCATAGTAAGAGCGTTGAGTAGTGTTAAACTTTATGTTACGGTATGGTTATGAGTATGTGAGGTGAAAAGCACAAAAATCAAATACTAACTTTAAGATGTGATCAAAGATGCAAGGCTTTTGTTTATTGCGTTAGATTAGCCTACCACAAACTTCTATTTAATTTACAGCATTATTGATTGCTTAACAGAAGATTTTATTTCTCTTATTTCTTTAGTAACAATTAGTTTTGTGGTGAAACCTTCCTGCATATTTTACTGCCTTTTTGGGTACACAAGCAATGATTCATAAATAAATGTTTAACTCCACTAAAGTTAATGCAGTATTTGCACATGGATTATAATGTGTTGTTTGAAAAATTAATACACAGTGGATTATAATGTATTGTTTGAAAAATTTAATACATAGCTCTACTGTGTTCTGGGTATCAGTTTGAAATTGGATGCTGCAAGACCTGTTGTAGTCACTACCTCAAAATCTCAACAGGTAGGAAGCGTTATTTGCATTAAACCATGATATCAACTTGGTATTGGAGCATGATTCTGGAATTAAAGTTCCTGTAAATCTAATGTGCCTGTTTGCCTTCTCAAAGCTCACCCTGGAGAAGAATGGGGGGGGGGGGAACCCCAAACAACTTAATGCCATGGTACTTGCTCAAAGGAAACTGGATCTCAGACCCTTCTTTGAAAGTCCATGCACAATAGTGCCAGTGTCTTAAGAAGAGCCTTTATCTGCAGTTGTTTTGGAGCTTACACTACTGAAGGGCAGAAAAATGGGCATCATATCAAAGCCAGTATTGACAATGGGTCAACAGCAGATGCTTAGACAAGAATATATATATATGAGAAGTGCTGCTGGAGTATCACTGTATGCTTCCTTAGCATTCTGTCTTTCAGCGATTTCATGGTCTAGGAGCTCCTGAGTTAGAAATTGCATCTTTGAATATGGAGTTTGTCATGGATTTTCTTCCCTTAGTTTGTCCAGCTACATGAACTTTTAAGCTTAATTATACGTTTTGTGAAGATATAATGTGTTTTGGTTTGTTTGTTGGGTTTTTTTTTGCTTTGAAGCTGTCTTTTTATGCTTTTTCCTGAATGTCTCCTCTTAGAACAACCAGAAGTTGTTCCATATTTACTTTTCCTCTGTCACTTATGATCTTGTGGAGGTCTGTCCTCTGCTACTTTCATCTGCCTTTTTCTTGCCTCTGTTTAGATGCTCCTCATACAGAAGCTGTGCTGTATTTGCCCCACCTTGCCATTTTCTGTATCTCTAGACCTGCTGTATTGGTAGATGAAAACAAACCACAAGTGCCCACAGAACTGACTTGATATAGGATGTGTGACGAAATTACTTTGTGATGAATTTTTCACTTTTGTTCTGCATGTTTCTCCTAATAGTCTGTATCTTTCAGTTTTATTTTCTTGTCAGCTCAGTGTCAAGAAGTTGTTACTGTCATAGGCAGCTCTGTTGTAACCCAAAGTTCAAGTCCCAGAGAGCTGGTAGTCAGCTCCAGGTCTGTTGCTATATATCTAAATTTAAGATCCCTTATCTGTGGACTCTTTTGACCCTCATCTGACTTTCAGAGAGAGGTAAAAGTCTCTGCCTTGTTCAGCAGGAAATAAGAGTTGCTATGAGAGCAGGATTCAGTGTTAGGAAGCCTTGCTACTTTGCTGTAAGAAAGGACTGGCTAGTTAAGAACATCTGGTCTTTGCATATTTCTTCTTCCCCATCTGTCTTAAGTTTTAAGGAAAAGTAGTCTTTGGAAATAGATTAATTGCTTAAGAACAGACCGAATGAAGTAATGGACTAAAGGAAGAACAGTATTAAACTTGGGATTTTGTATTTGTGATGTTTTCCCTCAGTAAGTGTTCACTCGTTTACTTTTTTCTTTTTTAATTAGCCATGTATTCTTCAAACAAAACTTTAGCAGCTGCATATCATTTGAGCACTTTGCAGTTTTCTGGAGCATGCAGTAAGATTCAGAGTATTGTGGCAGAGAAACTAGCAAACTTTTTCTAAATTGCACCAGGATTAATTGGCTGTTGAGAATACTCTTTGAACTTGGCTAGTGCTTTCTGGCTTGGTGCTGTATAGGTTCTGCACTTTGTTGACATGAGAAATAGATTCCTAAGAGTTGTGCTTGTTTTGCCCCCCTTTGCTGGTAGGCCACTGTCTATACTGTTACTTGCTCTCTTTTGTCGGTAGAGTATGTTCTGTCCTGCATGACTGTTTCTACGTAAGGCTCTCCAGAAAGCTCTGGAAGAGTGACCCACAGTTTTAGATGAAACCGTTGCAGGGGCTTGCTTGTGACTTGGGTGTTTCTCTGCTCTAGTGGTCAGCTGGTGACCACGCTAGTGCCTTTTCTTATAAAGCATATCTCTCTGAACTTGGATCATTTGGGAAATAATGAGGGATACCACTCAAATATAATACTACATTTTTTTGTCTAGTCTAATTACTTTCTAATGTATGCTTGTTGAATAGCAAGCAGAATATGTGATTTTTTTGCATAGCTTCCCTATTATGTTAAAACTAAATCATGGCCACTCCCTTCCATCTCAACTGCCATCTCACACAAGGGAGTATAAACACCTAATTTTAAACATGACTCATTTTGATGATTGTACAAGTGTGCTAGATGATTATTTTTGAAGAGAAAATTGCTGTGATATCCCTAAACCAAACTTAAATAAGGAGTAACCTGGATGGTTAGTTTAAATCTTCTAAGTATGCAACTATCTATACTTGTCCATCGTACCCAGTCTTGCTATAAGTGGAGCACAGGTGAGGTGAGGGATTGTTACTGCTTTGCACACGAGGGAAAAAAATAAAAAGGTTGCTACTGGAAGAAATCTGTTATTTACCACTAATTAAAACAAAGCACATTAAAAAAAAATGCCGTAAGTGCGTTAGAAACAGGAATCTCTTACTGATATGAGAAGGACAGGGTCATATCGTAAGCTACTTTGAGGCCTTAGCAGACATTAATAGTTAGCTTATGCTTGATACACTTTTAAAATATTTCTTTGTGATAGGTGCTACAAAAACTGGTTCTGGAACCATGTTGTAAAAAGTGTGATGGTTGACAGAGTGAAAGCTTAAAGTATAGATCTGCTCTTGAAAACTTTTTTTAACTGTATCAGCTTCTAGGTGCAAAATCATTACATAATTTTTATTCTACAGATTTATATATATTTATACTACACATGTGCATGCATTTGTGATTAAGAAACACAAAAGGAATTAGTGAAGATCATACCGGTGAGCATGTCTTTTTCTATCTTGGGGCAGAAACGTCCTTTTGGTAGGGTATACCAAGGGTTTGCATGCCGTAGAAACCACAATAGGAATTGTGGCTAGCCACTAGCATTTATCTTGTTTTTGTTTAGCAGTATATTATGTAAAGCAAGTTAGAAGAAGTGGATACTTAGCAGCAAAAGAGGGGAAAATCATCATGCTTAATTACTTTGAAGTGCCAGAACTTAACCTGCAAGACTTCTTTTCAGCAAGGTGAGGAGCATGGAAATAAATCTGTCCCTGGAGATCAGCGGATAAGTTTATCTATGATTTCCTGACTGTAGTTGGTTTGATTCTTCAGTACTGTCCCCTAGAAGCTAATTCATTGGGACTGGCTAGATTAGATAGACATCAGTGAAGGCTTGAATTTCTTTCCCAATGTATTCAAAGAAATCTATATTCTGGGTTAAACTTTCTTTTCAGCATTTTTGTGTATAAAATCATCCACAGTATTTGCCATGAACGTGAATGCTACTAGGAAACTTTTCAGTCTTTAATTTCTAAAATGTTTGTCATGTTAATACTCATGCACAGAAACCTGAAAGTGAAACTTCCCAGGGACTTGAATTTCACAGAACAAACTGAACAAAATCAGTGTATTGAGAATATTGCTAGTTTCTCAAGTACACGATAGCCCCTTCCTTCTCCAAAACCTGGAATTTGGTGTTTGACTAGAGAAAGGGGACCTTGTTTTTGTTACATGCAGGTAAAGTAATCTCTTGGTGCATTATGTAACAACTTTTAATTGGAAGATGGGGATTTTGCCATGGAGATAATGAGACACTTTGTATCTAATGTGCAATTTTTTGTTGTTGTTTTGTTTAGTGGGAGACTTTGATAAGATCTGGCGTGAGCACTGTGAGGATGAGGAAACTCTGTGTGAATATGCTGTGGCAATGAAAAACCTTGCAGATAATCACTGGGCAAAAACTTGTGAAGGGGAAGGCCGAATTGAATGGTGTTGCAGGTAAATCTTAATGTATTTGAAAGATGCAATTGCCCACTTCTACTTGTAATTATTTTATAATACAAGGCTTAAGTGTTTTTTTCCTTTTTTTGCCAATTTTTAAGATTTGTTCTATAACATGTTAATGATTTATTGCTTCCTAAAACAAATAACTTCTTACTGTTCCAACTTTCTAGGGAAATAGCTTATTAAGTGTTTTCTTATGAGGTGACCCTTTTTTAAAGTATCTTCAACATACACCTTCCCCCCCCC